CCTCGGCATCACTCAGCCCGCCGCTGTCAGCTCGCGCGGCCTGGGTAGGGCCGCCAGAGTCGTAACCTGCTTCTTCCTGACATTCAGCCCATGAATGGCCTTATTCTGGGCCTTCGGGTGATTAATCCGCCAACACGACCAACACATCTGCGTGGGCAGGCAGGCCCACCCAGCTTAGGACCCTGGGAAAAGTTCCAGGGCTCAGCCCTTCCTCTGAGAGCCCCCTCTAGAAAGGGGGAGACCTGGGCGGCCATGAGCCACAGTAGCAGGGAGGTCTCTGTAGGAGGGAGCAGCTGGGCACGCAAGCCTTCGCTCCGAGCCCATACGTCTGGATGAGCCCTAGCATTAGGAGTCGCTGAGGATGTCGTGTCATGGAGGTGGGAAAATACAAGTGGCTGGGGTATAGCCCCTCTGCCCTATACAGGCCGGGCGGCAGATGGTGTGGTCTGAAATGCATCGAGTGAAACCCTTGTTACATGCTATGCACATGTGTGTTTTGTGTCTCACTGTGTTTGATATTATATGATATTTAAGAAAGCACTAAACTGTAATAAAGTATTTAATTTGCTTTTTATTTAAACACACACACACACATACACACACACAAGTGGCCTGGGGCAGGAACAGGGAGTGAGTCACTGGCTGGCTACACTGGCCTTCCAGGCAGTGAAAGGGAAAGAAGGAAAGTGAAGCTGGCTGTGGCTGTGGCTGAATGTAGATCTTGAAGGTCGAACCGGGCACTTTGACTTTATTCTGGAAGCAGTGGAGAAACAGTGAAGATTTTTGAGGAGGCTATAATCAGGCTTGTATTATCAAATAATTCATCAAATATTTATAGACAACCTGCCATCTGCAAGGTGCTGGTGACACATCCGAGAATAAGGCAGAGCTGTCCCTGCAGGGGTTTACCATCCAGTTGAATCACTTCACTCTGGCAGCCAGTATGAAGAGGGCATTGGAGAGACCAGTGAGAGATACAGCCTGACCTAAGAAGATCTGGAAATTGATCGGAATGGAGAGGCAGACACTGTGAGATTTTCCCTCTTCCACACTCAACTGGACTGAATTCTTGGGGGTGACTAGGTTTTAGTGAAATGAAATCTTTTTCTTCAGTAGCTCCTGGAATAGTGCTTTGCATATAATGATCTAATAACTGCTTATAGGATTGGATGGTGCAAATGCAGGTAGAACAGGAATTCAGAGAAGACAGTGGTTTGAAAGAAATAATATGTTCCTAAATGGTTGGATGTAGCTATATAGAAGTTCTGTCTTAGAGGGAAGAGGTCAGAACCAAAGTATACCTATGACCCAGCCCATTAGTGCCTGCCCTTAACAGGAAATGGCAGAAGAATTCAACTATTCAAAAGGCTCAAACTTCAAATTGTACACTAAGGCATACCTGATCTGGCTCAGTCTCCCGTTCCACCTGTGCCATTCTCCTGGGCCACATCCTATGCTTTAACCATTCCCCAAAGATGTCAGCATCCTTCATACTCCCCACTTCTCCAAGCCTTGTTCCCTGGCTCAACACAAGATACAAGGAGTCTCCTAGGCAATAAATCGTTCCTCTCCCCTTTCTCATAACCTTACAACAATGTAATTATTTGTATCACCCTTCCCCCACCCCAAGTTCTTCTCAGCAGGGGCTATGTCTTAGTAGTCTCTGTCTCCAGCATCCAGTCCAGCACCTGGCTCATTTGACCCTGCATGTTTGTTGAGTGAATATTAGAGTGAATGAAACAATGTGAGAAAGGGAAGGAGGTCGAGGGACCAAGAGTCAAGGAGGGGAGGATAGTAAGAATTCAAAAGCCCTTCTACTTCCTTGGAGTAGCAGTATTCATTGAGTCAATAAATATTTATTGAAAGCCTAATGTGTTCCACGCATACTTCAGTGGCTTCAGGATCAGAACTGTCTCCAAAGGCTTGAGTTAAAATCTTCCAGTTAGTACCTGTGTGACTTTCTGTAAGCTGCTGACCTTCTAGAAAATGGGGACAACAGTACCTATCTCATTGGATTGTTGTGAAGGATTAAAGAGCACGGCCAGTGTGGTTCAGTGGTTGAGCATCGGCCTATGAACCAGAAGATTACGGTTCAATTCCCAGTCCGGGCATATGCTCGAGTTGCAGGCTCAATCCCTAGCTGGGGGCATGCAGGAGGCAGCTGATAAATGATTACCTCTAATCACTGATGTTTCTCTCTCTCCTTCTCCCTCTCTGAAATAAAAAATATATATATTAAAAAAATAAGATTAAAGGAGATAACCCACGTGAAGTGCATAGCACTGTTTCTATCTCAACATTTAGTAGACAAGGTGGGGGTAACCAGTATATCAAGAAGGTATACATGTGTATGTAGATTCATGAGCATTCATTTAACAAATATTTCCTAAATGCTTACTGTACAAAGCACTTTTCTGAGAGTGCTATTGAGAGGTTTTGGATTCAGTGTCCATCTAGAGATGAACTAGAGAAGATCAAAGCAGACCATTATTGACAACAAAACTATCCCAGAGGCCAATCACAGTAATAGGGAACTTCAACTATCCATGTATTCACCTGGACCACACTGGCAAAAAGACCATGGCAAGCCCTCAGTAAATGCTGATTTATTACATGAATGAACATGCTGAAAGACTCACTTCATTTGATTTTTGTCTTCGTCCTGGGAGAAAGCATCTTCAAATATCTGATATGGACCACTTAACCCCAAGTCCTACCAAATGGCATCCCATGGCTGTGGGATTCCTGTAAAATACTCACAGTCTAGTGGGGAAGAAAGACACATAAATGAATAATTTGAGTAGCAAGTGTTACGTATTCCCACAGAGATAAATCCAGAGATTATGAAAGCATAAGGGTAGGGGTGGGGGACACTGTACTCCAAGGTGGGAGTTAGCTCTTGAAGGTTTCACAGAAATGACACCTTTGCTGAGCATTAAAGGACACTTTATAGAAGGGAGGGAAAGACATTACAGGCAGAGGGAAGCATGTGTTTAAAGGCACAGAAGCTAGACATGTGGCAGGTTTAGGGAGCTCTAGATAGTTTGGTGTGGCTCTAGCTCAGAGGGCATATGGGTAAGGGCAGGAAATCTAGGCTGGAGTCAGTTTATGAAGAGCCCTGTATTCCATGGTTTGAATTTTATTATCTTTTTCTGTCCTGGCTGCACACTAGAATCACCTGGGGAGCTTTTAAAATATCAATGCCTGGCTCTCACCTCCATATTGATTCTGATGATTTTTTAATGGGAAGAGGCTTGAGTGTGTTTATGTACTGTGTGGAAGGAAACAATGGGCTCCAGCATACACCTCACAGACTGAGATGTGTGAAAAAGAAGAGTAAGTTTGTCAATGGACCGGGAGGAAATGGAAGAGTTTGGGACCTGTGGGGAGGCCAGGTGGAAGGCCTTGGAGGTCAGAGGGTTCAGTGAAGGTTCCCACACCAGGGCAGGCTGATAAACTGGAGGGGTCTAGGAACTCAGTTTTGTTTTGTTTTTTTTTAATTTAAAAAATTTATTTATGATTTGAGAGAGAGAGGGAGAAAAAGAAAGGCAGAAACATCAATCTATTGTTCCACTTATTTATGCATCCATTGATTGATTCTTGTATATGCCCTAACCAAAGATAGAACCCGCAACCTTGGCATATCAGGACAACACTAACCACCTGAGCGACCCAGCCAAGGCCAGGAACTCACAATATTGATAAGGATGACCGGAAATCAGGTGACAATTTCCCCTGGGTCCCATCCTGTCTGACTGCCTCCTCACTCACTGCTCTCTAAGGGGTCCTTCTCCACCCTCTTTCCCCAGAAGGCATGGATTTACTTTCTCCATGGGTTTAGTCTGAAAACTGTCACCTGTATAAACTCTAACAACTCTATCATTATTTTAGGCTTTATATTTCAGCAGAAAAATTAAAGGAAAGTGGAATCAAACAAACAGGAATGGCAATAAGTAAAAAATAAGGTATATCTATATGGGAGTGAGTGAGTGAGTGCGTGAGCAGGTGGAGCAGTGGAATAGAGTATGGGAGAGGCGGGGCGGGGGGGGGTAGTGGTGGTGGTGGTGATGGGGCTGTTGTCATCTAAGAACAATAGAAACTAAGGGTCTAGGCTGAGGGACAACAGGAGTGTCAGGTAGCCTCCTAGGGGCTGTGTCAAGCTTCCCCATGCCCATCTTGTAAAGGACAAAGGGCACTTTCTACACAGCACTCACACGGGGGAGTTGAGGGGAGTGCTGAGTCTGTGAGGACAAGGGAGCCAAGATGAGGGTGAAGGGTTTGTCAGTTAATCATTCTACATGTCCCTGGGCCTTAGCCAGATAGAAGGTATACACTGCCTAAGGCTGGGACCTTGGCTGAGGAAAATGGAGCTGGAAAGACATCTGGCTGGCAGAAGGGAGAGGCTGTTTACAAACACTCATATCATCTGGAATTTGGGGGTTTGCCTGGACTCTTGAGAGGTCAGGCACAAGAGTAGGTAGCCAATGCCATGGGTATCAAAGAGTGTTCCCTGAACTGATCACTGAAAAAGAAAGTCAGAAGGAAGAGGGCTGTGATAAAACCTTCAGGAAGAGCTCTGGAGAGAGAAAAGGGGAAGCTTTGGGATAGGAGACAAACTCGGGGAGATTCTTAAAATGGAAGAGTTAGCAAGATCTGGAAGATGTGTGAGAAGAGCCAAGAGGGTAAAAGAGAAAATGTAGCTTACTATTCAGTACTTTCTCTGGCAAGCATGGGCCAGTTGCTTTCCAGGTGTTCTTATGGTTCAGCCTTGTAAGGTACTGTTATCACTGCTTACCAGATGAAAAGAATGGGATCAGAAAGGGTGAACGATCTTTTCAAGGTCACATAGCAAGGTGGAAGCAAATAGGTATTCTAGGCTGAGGAAAAGTGTGGATGAAGGGATGAATGGAGGAAAGCACAGTGACTCTGTTTGGTTAAAGAATAAGGTGAATGAAAGGCCTACTTATGATAGAAGGTTAAAAAGTAGGGTGGCCCCTATCATGCAGTGTTTTGAATGAAAGAACGAGGACTTTTTCCTGCCCAGTGTGGCTCAGTGGTTGAGTATCGACCTATGAAACAGTAAGTCACAGTTCAATTACTGGTTGGAGGAGGCAGCCAATCGATGATTCTCTCTCATCACTGATGTTTCTATCTCTCTCTCCCTCTCCCTTCCTCTCTGAAATCAATAACAATAAAAAAATTATTTTTAAGAAGAATGAGGAGTTTCATTTGTATTGGGTGTGTCCCTGATTTTTAAGAAAGGGGGTTGGTATGATCCCCACTGCTCTTTACGAAGATAAACCTGATGACAGTAAGCTATATTATCAAGAGAAAAATGAGGAATGGAGACCACCTGAGAGAACAGCTGAGAGGCACAGATGTGACACAATGAAGGCCTGAACCAGAGCAATCAGAGTGAGAAGGAAGAAGAGAGAGGCACCAG